CTGACCGCTGCTCCGATGTTCTTTGGTGCAAGTTTCCGGAAACTTCCAGGCATTTTCCATTTTCCATTTTGAATTCGCTGGATGACCCCTAGCACCTGTTCAAAAATAAATGTGAACATTCAGAGAGGTGCCAATTTTGTAAAAACGATCATCTTCTCGTTTTCATTTTAACCACGCTCGTATATTCGATATTTTCCCCTCCGAGCAAAAAGCTAAGCTTGTTGGGTCCATCGAAATGCGACGCCGAATGTTGAGCGTTCCACTTGAAAGACGGCTGGAAAGATGGAAAAGATCGGTCGGAAAAAAACGGGAGAGATCGCATCTCGATCGAGAATTTCTGTTCCTCGCGATGGAGAAAAAGCGGGTGGTCCTTGGCAAAAGAAGCGGGGTGGCCTTGGCACTTGGCATTCGGGAGCACGTCCAGCAGGAGATAAAGGAAGAACGCAATAGGAAACGCGGTCGAGAAGGGGATGGCTTTTTTTTCCCCCATCTCGAATGCGTTTCTCGTCGCTGTGCAGTTTAGAAGGCGGCTCTCGGGCTCGGCATGATGGATTCGCTGTCGCGACGTGCATGATCGAAGGAGGAAATCCAAGAGATGGGGAAGACATTCGTTGCGCACGATCGCGAGGGGGAAGTGAAAGGTGGGCTAGGCGACCGGCCCCGATGCGATTCCCAAGAGAGTCGTCGAGGAAACCGCGAGGGGAATATCGGTTCCAATCATATTTGAAAGCAGCTTTTCGCTCGGGGAAGTACTTAAGGACTGAAGACGAGCGAAAGTCGCACCGATCTTTAAGAAGGGCGAAAAGACTCATCCGGGGGAATTACAGGCCGGTAAGCCTCCCGAGTATCCCGGGGAAGATCACGGAGAGCATCTTGAGGGACCACATTTTGGATTTCCTCGAAGGAAATGCGCTCATTCGGGACTCTCAACACGGCTTTAGGAGAACGTCGAAATCGTCTCAACGACTTTGTCGAATTCTACGATCGGGCGACGGAAGATAGGGACGAGGGGAATCCCGTGGACATCGTCGATTTCGCGAAAGCTTTCGATACCGTTCCTCACAGTTCCTCAAGTTTTCCTCGCACGCGCAAGCGACGATGGCCAAATGCAGCAGGATTCTACGTTTCATTCGTCGTTCGGTTGCAGGTTGGACTTCGCGCGTTATTCTTCCGTCGTATGCGACGCTGATAAGACCCCAGTTGGAATATTACATCCAATTTTGAAGGCCTACAAATAAGGGTGAATCGAAAGGGGTACAGAGGAGGGCCACAAGAATGATGAAGGAGGTTACGGGACTTCCGTACGAGAAGCTTTTAGAAGTGTTGAAACTGTACGAGGGAGAGAGAAGGTTAAGGAGGAGCGATCTCATCCAGGCTTTCAAGATGATTAAAAGAATAGATAATGTCGAGTGCGGTAGGTTTTTCCAGCTCGATGGCAGCAAGAGAACGAAAGGTAATCGACTAAAGTTGCGCAAACTGCAGGTGCGGCTCATGTCGAGACAGGAATCCTTTTCTTGCAGAGTGGTGAACGCGTGGAATGCGTTAGATGGCGACGTAGTGGCTGCCCCTTTTGCGACTATTTTTTTAAGAATAAACTGGATGCTTTTATGGACAGGCAAAATGGTGGGGGGCAATGTTGAAGGGACAAGGCATTAAGCAACTAGGATAAGCTAAAAAAAAAAAATACAAAAATATTTAGCTTAAGAGGATTAGGCCTACCCCAAAATTAAGGAACGCTCGACCTCGACACGAGATATCGAAATGGCTGGATTCGCCTCTTGATATCGCTAACTACCTTGATGCCTTGATACCTTGAACGGCAAATGCTATGGCGAATGGAGGCATAAGGACACGATTAGGGAGGAAAGAAAAATCTTGAAATTTGGATATGTTCTTTCCTGACCGTCTTCAGGCTCCACAACGGAGGCCTGCATCAGGACCGACTAAAAGATTAAGAGGGTGCTGGACTGGGCCTTACATCAACTGAATCTGAGCTCCACGTCATCGATATCGAGTGAAAGGGAGCCAAAGGGAATAAATTAACAACTCGCCTCGATGATATGAAGGACAAAGGGAACGATGAAAAGCATTAACAGGAAAACGTCCAGACACCGAAAATCCTGCATTGGGGGATTTTTGGTGTCTGTCCATTTCATTCCATCTACAGATGGGGAAGAAGCGTCTTAGGCGAAGGAAAGCCAAGTCGGAAGAAAAAGAACCGTTTGCCCAAATCCAGGTCGAGAAAGGCGGAGGCGAAGCAACAACAACGATGCGGACAGAAGCGGCCGACGAGTTTAGTCCAGTTGCTCTCCTCGCATTATATCATATATTATATCTGGTACGGTCTTCTCGAACCTTCGACGCGCGGAAAAAGACATCCCAGCTAAAAGGATTCTGGCCTCGTGAATTACGCTCAGTTGGAACGAGAATCGCACGAAGACATGGAGAGAACTTCGGCCGTGTTAGGAAGAAAAGCGAAGAAAGCAAGGCAGCGCTAATTGCAAATGAAAGTTGGCGTTGGAGATGAAAGGGCTCAAACTTTCAAGAGAGGCGAAAGGGTAATTTAAAAAAAGCACAGGACACAAGAAAGGATCGACTGACGTCACAACTTCTTATCGTATCGTTGCAGGAAAGAGTTGACACCCGGCCAAATCGTTACAAGTTAGAACGAGAATTCGAAGACATTTTTATGACTTCGCTTGGCCTTAGTCGCTTTCATACTCTAAAAATCATTCGGGAATTGCGGAGAACACCGTCTTGACATTTTCAAAGCTATTTGAGAGAAAATGGTTATTTACTTGAGGGAATTTTCGAGAAATTCAATGGAGGTTGTGCATAAAATAAGGTGAAAGGTCGATGACCTTCATCAGATGATGGCTTCCTTGTAGCTTCGATGAAAACAACTTCAGTAAAAGCGATGGAAGAGCTCAAGAGAGGGAAATAAAAACATTAATAGCTTTCAATAGCCATCTTCGATAGCTATCTCAATAGCTATCTTATATAGCTATCTTAGATAGCAGTTGAGAAAAATCTTTCATGATGCAAGGGCATCCAAGAGGTCAAAATAATCGGCAGCGAATCGTTTCTCAATGAGGGAAAATGGGAAATCCAAACCCGAGAGATAATCCCACGGCCACTGGAACATTTAAGCCTAATTAGAGAGCCTCATTAGTGTCGCATTCATTTTTTCCCCAATCGATGAAAGGAAGTTTGAGTGGGATGGATCTGAAGGCTCATCAGATCGGGCGAGCAAAAAAAAAGGTGAAAGGAATTCCCTTTCCTCTTTCCTTGCTCTTTCCTTTTCCTCTCTCTTGGGGACGATGGAGGTGGAAGAGGGAGGAATCTCCTCTCTCTCCCGCTTCGAGAGGGAGGAATCCGCTGATTCTGGGAGTAATTGAAGACCTTGGAGGGGGGGGGGGGGGGGGGGGGGGGGGGGAAGTACTTATTGGCGGTGGTAATCTCGTGCATGCGAATCACGTCATCTCTCATGCTGGGGGAGAAATGCATTCTTATCGACGGCGTTTATGTCGTTTTCTCAATGCATCTGCTTTCTGAGTTCGATACTCCATTATGCCCTTTCCCTTCCTCCTTCCTTTCTCGTACAGAAAACCAGAGGGGGGGGGGGGGAAACAGATTTCCAATTCAACGCGTTTCACTCAATATTCAGGCTTCCGAGAATATATCCGCCGTATTCTTTCCATTCCTGGACTGCTTGCGTCACTCTCCAACACGAAGAGACCAAAGAGAAAAAAGGTCGTGGCTCCCTCAGAGCACGCTTCTCCCTCCGAAGCAGAAAATGATCCGTCACACAACGCGCGATTCGAAGCGGCACATAACGTGCTAGGACATATAATGCGCAGGGACATATAATGTGCATCGCATCCGGCAGCGGCCCCATTGAGGTGACACGGTCCGAGATAGCGTGACGCCACCCCATTTACGACTGCCTATTGCCAGTCGGCGTGTCCGAACGGAGAGAATAGCCGCGTCCGAATGGAGAGAATAGGCGTAATCCACTCGGGCGAATGTCATCCATTCGGGCAATGTCATCCATCGACCACACAACCCCCGAGTCGGATCCCCGCGCCGTGTAATTTCTCTCCTCTTCCCGTCGTGGCTTCCCCTTCCTTATTTCTTTCTTTCGAGCTTTTCAACGGCGAAAAAAATTTTTTTTTGTCGAATATGGGAAATGTTTTGGAGGCGATTCTCCCGGTTTCGGGAATCCTGCCGGTGCTCTGTACAGGGTGCCCCAAAAGTGAGAAACCACAAAGATTTCACGTTTCTCCAGTAAATGCACGAACCGTTCACCACTAACCTGGAAACGCTTTTCGATCCACTTTACACAGGATGCTTGAACATTTCTTAACTTGTCGACAGTGATCTCGACACACTCGGATCTTATTCTCTGCTTCAATTCTTCCATGTTTCAGGGAAGGTCAGCGTAGACGACCGACTTAAGATGCCCCCACGGAAAGAAGTCAATAGGCGTGGGGTCCGGTGACAAAAGTGACCACTCGACGGGACCTAGGTGACCATTCCAAGGGAACTCGGGTGACCACTCGACGGGACCTCGTCGTCCAATCCACTTGTTTTGGAATGACACATTTACAATTAATACAAGTGGGCAATCCCTACGGTTCCTGACTTTCGGTCCACGCTGTAGATCCGAATCGAAGCGAAATGGAGTCAATCACGTCCATTTCCGGATATTTCTGTCACGATATATGATTAGTTAGGCTTAGTATATTCAGCAGAAACTGATGCTGATTTCAGGTCGAAGTGCTACCGAGAGACAAGCAAGATTGATGTCACGCGCGGAGGGAAAATTGGGCGGTTGCACGCGTCTTCGTGATTAATATTACGCCCCACATTAGCGGGGATTGCACTAAATGCCCGTTTTTTTAATTTCCAGGGGATGGCCGGATGAAATGCTGAAGTCATGGCTCGAAAGCGATTTTCGGCGGTGGGAATCCGCTCTTGAGAATGAATAGACAAAATGATAAATTCGATAGAACATTTATCTGAACATTCAGCAACGCGACAAAAGTACATACTTTTCAGTACTTCTCCGGTACGGCGACGAAATTCTAACCGGTGATCATATCTGCAGGTTGGCAATCGGAATTCCCCGGATTCTTGACCTTGAGGGTGAGATCGAAGGAGGGGACGCCGAGGAGGTCCATGCCGAGCCGGCTCATGTCCGCCTCCGGCTCGTCTTCGCTGACGGAGCCGGCCGTCTCCGGATCCAGCACGTGGATGGAGGGCCGGCGCTTCTTGGGCCGGATGGCCAGTTTCTCCTGGACGGCGTGGACGAGGGATGACTCATCCATACCGGCTAGGGTGTCGTCGATGAGGATCACGGGACAGGATGAGTATGGGTTGCTTGAATCCAATGGCTCCTCTTCTGAAATGGAACGGAATCCAGTGATTTGTTGCTTGTCTTTTAAAACGTAAACTTATCCTGCCTGATATTAATGATGGGTTGCTCTAGCACGGCATCATACACCGGTGAAATCGGCATTAGCGCTTAAAAAGCACAAATCCGTGCCACTATGAAATGAAGTGGTGTGAAAAGCATTTTTCAAGGACTCATTCCTCAACCCCCTTCACCTTCCTTTCCTCTCTTCCTTCTCCATGGGAATCGCTTTAACGTTAGGCCTAGGCCTACCTCTTTTCGCTTTGAAGAATCTCACCCTCGACGTAAGGGGGCTATGAGGGTCCATTTAGGGGTTTTCGGTGAGGACTTGTCCCGCTCGGCCTATCCATCTCGACTCGGATGTCTTGTGAACAGACTGCTTTGAAAACTCCGACGCATCTTAGACGCCATCATGTTAAACCAGGGATGCCCCTCCACGATTTCTCTGTATCCCACTGCATCGATCGATCGACGCCAGCCACTCTTTCGTTCTTGCCTCATCCTATGAACTAAACGCAAAAATGTTTTATGCATTAAGAAATAGAAGACCTAGGCACCGATACGGAAGCAGAAGCAGTCGTGAATCCGAATCAACTCCAGCGCGATATCCGGCAACCGTGGGAGACGGGACTGGTGCCCGCACCATCAGCCTTAATAGCCGAAACGACTATTTCATTTTTACAGAGAAATGGTGCATCGCAAACGATAAAAAGGGTACGTATCTCGCTCTAAAATACAAATACATACTGGAATGAAATTGACATTTAAAAATAGATCCTGCGATTTTCCCAACCCTGGGGATATGGAGCGACAAATTTCCCGGAACAATCCAGTTTTGAGAGGGTACAAGAACAAGTCATACTCGATTTTCCTCTAGCTAGATGCTCTCAGAGAAGCAGCGGCGTAGCAAGATGGGGGGAAGCTGCTGCCACCCCAAATTTGGTTCAAGCCCCCCCCAATTCTGGTCCAAATGAGTCCGGCACCCTCCACCCCCCCCCTTGGCGGCGTTCTGAATTTCGTGATGGTGCGAATCTGTTCGTGAATTCTTGCTACAGATTTTTGTATATTTGTTTGCGTTACAAATATCAGCGATTCGAGAGAAATGCAATATTATCGACACTCGTTGACGCCCTGTGAATAATAATAATAATTAGGGAATTCCACTAATTAGGGAATTCATGCGACGATTCGCTGCCTTAGCAAACGCAGAAGTTCACGTGATTGAGTTTTTTTCTCTCTACGGCAACCATCACGATTTGTGGGAAAAAGCTGTCAAATGTAAAAATAAGAAGGTGAAATATTGTCAAAATGTTAGCAGAATATAGCCATAGTATTAAAAAATATCTGAACAAATACAGTGAACCATCGATATAACGCCACTGTTGGTCGTCGCCGATTTTTTTTTTTAGCACCGATTTGGCGCCAAGAGGAACGAACCGCAGCATGCTAGCGGCTACGATACCCAAATCTCGCCAGGAAAAATCGAGGAAGCGGATGCGAAACTCATTTTGCCGCCCTCGTTCTTATGACTCGCGATATGCTCCGTCCGTTTCGCGGCCGTTCGCGGCCGTGAATGACGCTTTTCGGAAAACCGAGGAGGATGCGGGAAGGAGCATGTTTGCACGAATGATGGTGTTGGCGGATGGGTTGAGTCGATGATATTAGGAAAATATTGGGGGGAAAATATGAAAATATTGGAGAAACAATATTGGAAAAATAGATAAGAGAAGCACGAGAAAAACTTCGTGAAATAAATTGGGGCTAGCGGTCTGCGGCCGCTACGCTGGCCATCTAATGGGGGGAATTTCAAAATGTTTATATAAAGATGTGAAGCAGTTCGGTTCAAACCACACATTGACCATCTAAAGAGTGAGTCTTTTAAAAGTAGGTTAAAAGTATACCCACCTTTTTATGGCCTAGCCTATGGCCTAGAATGGCATAGCCTTGTAGGCTTTTCGTGTTCGGCCGCGGATGAGTATCAACCGTTCACCGTCGCTTTCGGCTTCTTTCGAATTTTTCTTGCCACACCTACGGTCCAGAATGACAGAGCCTTGTCGACCCGGCGCTTTGGGCCGTGGATGGCCTGGTCTATGGCCCAGAATGGCATAGCATGGTAGGCCTCGTGCGTTTGGAACATTAGCCACCACAACATTTCTTTCAATTATAGTATTATATCGGGTTAGATATTCGATTCGGACTCTACCTCTCAGGAAGGATCGTTGCAGACGTTGAATGTGCCTCCCGACGAGACAGTGATACGCTTTGAGGCAGAGCGGGATCCCCGCGAGCACCGACTCGTCCACCTCCCTCCACTCCTTCTGCCTCCTCCCGTCCCTGGCTTTTCCTCCGCCCGGCACTCGTCCGGCTTCCCCGCCCTTGCGGACGCATGCACTCGCGTAGGGCGTGGAGCCGTTGATGTGGACGATCCCGAGGTCCGCGGTTCGCCGCGTTCGCGCTCGCTCGCTCGACGCGGACGCGACGCGGAGGAACTTCGCGCACACGGGCAGCGACTCGCCCGACGGCGATCTCCGCACCCTCGGCGATTTCTCCACTTCTCTGTCGTGAAATGAAACTTTCCTCGCTCTCAGACAGAGATCCATGTCTCGTTACCCGATCCCCCCGAGCCGGCACGCGGTCCCCCCCCCCCGACCCGGCACGCGAGAGACGAAGACTCTCGTCTTCTCGATACTCGCCCCTCCACCGCACAGTCACGGAACCCATTTGCCACACGATAGAAATGAATGGCTTCCGACCTTCATAGCCGATAAATGTCCTGCCCTTTCTCCATTGATTCCGTGTCTCCTCATTAACCTGACACAGGCTGCCTTCCATTTCACCTGCTTACCCCCCCGCCCCCCTTTCCCCCCCTTCCCCCCCCCCCTTTTCCCCTCTCTCATAATCTTAAAAGGACTCGTGCAAATCTCCATAATCCTGAAAGGGCTCATGCAAATCTCGCTAATTGACTTTCTTCCCTCCCCAAAGGCTTGGAGACCGCGCTGCAAGATAACAGCAATGACCCTGAAAAGACCTTTAACTGGAGTCCTTCGATCCACACGGCGCAAAATCTCATTTTATTTCATCGTTTTGGCGCTAATTAACGATCGTTAAATGCTCGCGTGCCCCTCTGGTACATCCGAAGCTCGTATTAAAGCAGATAAAAATCTGAGAAAGCAATTGCCCATTTAGGGCATGCCATTCGATCCAGATTAATTGGACGCCGGCTTCGAGCATTCGCATCGTTCGAGCGCCTTGGAGCGTGTTGGATTAAATGTTTAACATCAAAAATGAAACTTGACGCAAAAATGAGCCTGTGCTCGATCGACAGCTGCCTGGTGGCAAAGGAGCAACTCGCAACTTTCTCTTCGGGAAATTTTAAATTCAAAGGAGAGAAGGAAGGAAAAGGAGGAAAGAAGGAATCGAAAGGGGGGCCTGCGTGGTGCGAGGTCGGGTCCATCGATTCTCGGCGGATGATTGCCTCGCGGGTCCCGGGTCGGATTGTCTTTGCTCAACGAATCTGGGATTGAGGGCGAGGCACGGATCTCCTGTGTACACAAGTGGACGAGGAATAGGAGGGCTGGGTAACAGGATTGGATGACGGGGTCGGATAGCAGAGTAGGATGGCAGGGATGGATGGCGGGTTTGGATGGTGGGTTTGGATGGCGGGTTTGGATGGCGGGTTTGGATGGCGGGGTTGGATGGCAGGGATGTATGGCGGGTTTTGATGGCGGGGTTGGATGACACTGGATGACAGACTCCATTGCGCGGTGTTGGATGTTCCCAGTTTCGTTGGAGAGTCAAATTGATTACATGAAATCCCATGGTTAGTACAGATTGACAGGGAATGGCGTAGCTCGTTCCAAAGACCAATACGTTCGTATTCAACGATCGTCGAGAATCTTAAATTGCAAGGCTTAAGGAGGCGACGTGATTGTCTCACCGATCTGCTTTGCCTTTTGCGATTGGATAACGAGCGCGATGGATGAAGGGAATCCCGCCAGGATCGTTTGTTTAGATGTCGCTGAATCGCTTTTATGCCGTTCGGGCCAGAAGACTAATTTTAAATGCGGAAGTGTCGGCGGCAGAAGGGAAGCGTCGACGGACCGGGGGCGAAGTCAAACGAAAAAATTTATTGCTGTTTGCATTCGCGGTTTGGACGAAGATCTCGCGCGCGAAATCAGTAAATTTCTCGACGACACGAAAATTGGTTTCTCCGTGACGGAGGAGGAAGGCCGAGAGAGATTTATTGCTTCAGGATGAACAGGGTAAAAAAAAAAAAAATTGCAAATAAAGTTCCTTAAGAGTAAATACGAGATTCTCCACGTTTCAAGAGACGATCGGTCTCTGAAAGCATTCGTCGAGGCGAACTGGGAGAAATACAGTGGGGATTACCTGAATACGCAGGTAATCCCCGCGGTAGCTTAACGTAAGAGGATTTTTGGCGGGATTCCATTGTCGATAACGGTTCGTGCGTTTGGGGTATTCGGTTCGATTTTGGAGGCTTGCAAGTGAAAGTGATCTATGGGCGCAGGAGAGGGTTCAGAGGCGGGAAACTAAAATCAGGAAAAAAGTACGAAGACTTTCATACGAGAGAAGGCTGAGAAGGGAGCACCTCGTGCAGGCATTTAACATACTTGTGGGAATCGATATCGCGCCTGTTCATATAGGTTTTTACATAGCTCTTATGGGTTCATAAAGGTTTCCATAGACGTAGGTTTTCCCAGTCAAAACCGACCCGAATTCCATGGACTCATCGATTGCACGCGCACATAAAAAAGCCATAAGATTCCCCATTGATCCCCACGGATCCGAAGCGCAGTCCTACGGTTTCTCCGCGTGGTTCCAACCGTTCCTTCGACGAAGGGAAATTCCTGTACGAGGAGGAAAAACAACCTGAAACCTTTTTTGTTTCGGGCCGTCAGATAACAGCTGTCTTCGGCTTTTCGTGGTTTCTACGGCGACATTCACTTCATGCCGACTCATTATGCACCTTGCACCCCATTCCCCCACCTTCCCCCCTCCTCCCCCACCTTCCCCCCTCCTCCCCCACCTTCCCCCCTCCTCCCCCCCCCTCCCGTCTAAGGATGAAACAGCTTGAAACTTCACCAAACTTGTAAAACTTGTGTGTAAAAGGCTATTGATACAATAATTGACCGTTACTGACATTCCCCCATGAACTTCTCCCATCGCAGATTATTCGCCCCCCGCGTGTTTTGCCCAAATTTATTTATTTATTTATAAGTTTCGTTAAATTCAAACCAATAGAAGCAGTGCCTCACTTTTCGTCGTCTTTTTGCGCTATTGGAAAGGAAAGAAAATGAAGGGGGGAGGAAAGATAACAGGGTCAATAACAAGATAACAGGTTGTTAAAACAAGTTTCTTCATTACGTATACCGACGAATGGAAAGAGATTGGATCTTAAAATGAACATTAGAGAAAAGTCAATTTTTCGCAAACGTGCCAATGTCATCCAGGTACATCAAGGCAGTGAAAAGTGACAACTGCAAAACGGAATCGGCATTCTCAAAGAGAGATTTTTGCTAATAAAAAAATTAAGATCGTGTGATGAGTTTCCAGAAAAGGAAGAGAAAGTATTCGTTGCTTGTTTGTGTCCAGAATGGCAGAATGGTTGGATTCCTCCGAAAGCGATTGGGACGGCATTCCGGCGAACAAAGGAATCGTCTGGCACGATCGCGCGGGATCGCCGGATTAATTGGTTTCTTCACTTTTCTCGCTCTTTCTCCATTTCGCACGGCGTTTCGTCGCGGGATCGACGGCGACGGATAACCTTCGGGGTCGTTCTGAGGATTTCCAGGCGTCACTTAAGAGAAAAGCGGCCCAGTCGATTCGAAAGCGAAATTTGGATCCCCGCCAAAATCGGGTCCCCCCCCCCCCCCTCCCCAACAACAGGCGCTAACACTTTCACCTGCACAAGGTCGTCGGGGGTGGAGGAGGATAAAGGAGTGGATCCCACTCCAACTTCCTTCAGTCGTCATCCAAGTGTGCGAGCAAGCGAGTCACCAGCGAACAGCGTCTGTCACCATGCATTCGCACGTCCCCCTTCTGGTCTGTTTTTTCTTACTGTTTCCAATGTTGTCGTTGGAGCGCTTTCAGCTTCAATTTAAACGAATTCGTGTCGTTCGAAGTTGGGCCTTTTTTTTTCCGCAATGGTTTCGGAGGTGAGAAATATGCTCACCTGTTGGTTCTGACAGTCCTGGGACTCTGTTTTGTATCGTTGGTCGCGAACACGTTGCAAGGGGGGATCTCCAGTGGTTCGTTGTTTTTAGCGTGGTCTGGTATTCCCCGCGATGAAGGAAAAACTTTTCAGGTTCAGGTTTTGCCTTATTTTTTTTTCTCGAAGGCAGAAAGGGGAAGGAAAAAAAATGACATAATAGGAACGTAGTGATAACCGAACTTGATATTTTGGACTTTTACTCCAAGGGGGAAAGACCTCTCGTCGAGGAAAGGAAAGAATGCGCATAAAGTTGAACATGAATATATTGGTAAGAAGTTGATTTGGCGAAGTGCCTTCCATTTGTTGATTCGTGGGCCAATTTGCCTTTTGCGTGTAAAGGGTGGTCGCCGGCCTTCTAGCTTAAAATCAAAATCCGTGCTGTACCTCTAGGAGAGGTCATCTATATTATGGATGTTCTGATTCCCCCCCCACTGGCCTTGAACGGTAAAAGTAAGCAGGTTCTTTTTTTTTTATAAAATAACCCGTTGCGCATAACTGAGGCTCTGTATGGAAGGCGATGCTGATTTAACCTCTTCCACTTGCAGCTCTTGTCGGTGTTCTCTCTCGGCTGCAAGGGAGAAGAGACTACGACGACGGAAGAAACGCGAGCGATCCAATACGAATATCACCCTCTGCCTCTCCCCTCCTCCATCTACCCTCCCTTCGCGCCCAAACGGGTGACGACGACCACCACCCCTCAGCCAGGGGTTCCTTCGTCTCTTCGGTCGCAAGCGCCTTCTCCTCTCGCGCCGTTGCTTACGCCGCTGCTTCAAGCGCCGGCCCTGGGTCGGGCCCCGCTCTTTCAAGTGCCGTTCCTGAATCGGGCACCCCAGCTGCAATTGCCTTCCTCGCACTTGAACAAGCCAGTGGGTATCACTAATCTTTTCGGCTAACATGCATGAAGGATCAGATTCAAACCCTAAGAATATCTAAAGTTAAGACTTGACCAGTTAACCATGCACGTTTTGCGATACCATGCACTCTCGTAATGGAACGCCAACTTGGAAGTTGGAATGTACGGAAAAAGTCGGCAGTGCACGCATTACACGACCTTTTCCAGGTGGTGGAATCGACGGTCCGAAATGACGGGATTGTGTCCCCCCTCTTCCAGAACCAGTTCCACGAACAGGTTCGCCGAATCCGCGGCCAGCAAACCCAACAGGGAGTTTCCCCGTTCGCTTCCCAGGTGCATCAGGGGATCAATCGAGACGCGACGATTCCCGTTCAGCCAGAAGCAGCCACCAGAAACAACGACAGCAAAGTCGATGATTCGCCACAGGTCTGCTTTTCTCGGTCCACTCTGCATCAAAGTCCACTTAGTAAAATTACAGCAAGTTTCCTGATTAAACTAAATGGACTCCCTGGCTAGAATCAGATTTCGTGAATTCCATATTCTCGAGCAACCGAAACTCGAAAGCCACAGTAGTCATGCATCCAATAACGTTAGAATTTGGATGCAGCGGTAACAAAGTTTACATGCCTTGTATTCCTCTCAGGAGTTCCCGCCCCAGCCGTACGACTTCGGCTTCAAGATCCGAGACGGCGTGAAGGGAGCCTCGCAGGAGCACCAGGAGACCAAGGACGGCGACGGCGTGAAGGGCTCCTACTCCTACGAGGACGGGAACATCCGCCGGACGGTGCACTACGTGGCGGACAAGGATGGATTCAGGGTGACGAATGAGGAGATCGTGGCCGTGCGGCCGCTGGCTGGGCTGGATGGGACGGCGGAGGTGCAGAGCGCGGCGAGGATCGCGGGGACGCAGAGGTTTTCGTCGTACGTTCACGTTCCCAAGCCGGAGGCGAGGCCGTGAATGAGGACGCGTGCGAGACGATCCATGCATTTTCATTTTTGACGTACAAAAATTGAACTCCATAAAAGGTGATTTGTTTTCAGTTAAGTGTTTCTCTGAAACGACTTTGAACTGTTCGCTATGGCCGGAAAAAAGGCAAGACAGCAGCAGAGACCTAGCCACGCAGGGCAGAGGTGCACGAACCCTTGGCCCCCTCGTATTTTCAGAATAGAGGCAAAAATAGGAAATGCACGAGAACATTGTCTTAGAATTACCATCCACTTTTTCCATCCACGCTACGCTTACGGACAGCAAGATATCGGTCTCGTGATTTCGAGTGAATTGGCTCTCGGACTGCGTGGATCTCTGACGGGGCAATTATAGGCACAGCCAAGAATAACACGACTCACGCAACTGTTTGCTTGCGTGTCGCCCAAGCCTCATTTCCTCAAGTGATTCTTTCCCCCTCAATTCAGGACGTCATCAAAATTAGAGAGGAACTGTATTCACTCCTGATTAGTTCGAATTTCGTTCCTCTCAAGCGCAGCTGCATAACAGCGAAAACTTGTCAAGGTTTTAGGAGTTATTTTTTCCCATTTACACATTTAAATGTGTTTATAAAAATTAATAAAACTCTGGAAGCTGCTCTTAGAGCAGCAGGCGTGGAAGCGTTATGCGTTACTTTCAAAGCAAAAACTAAGGGAAGGTTATCTGCTCCCAAATCCTGAGCTGCTTAATCATTCAAATTAATCATCGGATTTTGTTCCCTCAACAGAAGTTGGTGCAGAATAGAAGTAGTACTTTTTCCAGAATGTGTTGAAACTTTTTAATTCCGTAGTTCAAATAAAATCCACGAGGAATTTACATATCTAGGATCAACCATGCTATTTATTTCTATCAGGATATTGATCAAGATGGTATAACGTTATTTTGCCAGAATTTGATTAATTAAATTTCTGCAGCTCTGCGCTGCAATTAAGTATATTGCCAGTAATTTCCGCTCGCATCGAGGGGGAAAGCAAAAAAGTCCAAGACTTGCACTTATTCCCTAAGCCCCCGGTCCGGTTTCAAGGCATTAATCCTCGGGTGGTTTTGAATGTTAAAATTCGCGGAGATCCAAGACGAGGAGAACCTGAATGTTTCCTCATTGTGCCTAATTTCGACGCGTCGAGTTAAAAGTAAGACGATTCTAACGAAATTAGTAACAACCGCAGGGGGGAAAAATGAGAAAACTTTGAAATCCCATTCGCAACATAGGAAAGCAATAATTAAAATGGGGACAAAAGAAAATTTTCCTGACAATTCTTAGTGCACGCCTTGTCCATATTTCTTGAATATATTTTTAAATTGCATCTATTCATATAAAGCAACAAAAAAAGGATCGTATCCTTTCAGGAGCTTCGAATTCGTGCATAACAAAATTCCCTCAGATATCACGCGTCAACAGCTCTCTCCGCTCGGAGGCCCACAAGCGACAGTAATGCCATCTGTGTTGGAAAATCAACCTATAACTTTCTTCTTACGGTATGGTAATTAGTGCGGATGGTCCAAGTTAAACGCCTCACGCCGGAGACTGGATTGCTTCGATGCCCTGCAGACCTTTTTGCTCTATTGTTTTAAGACCTTTCATTGGGGTCAAAGACCAATCTCTGCATTCAAGAGACTTCATGAAGCGGAATTCAAATTCATCCGTGGATGCTGGGGATGCACTGTCTGCGACTTACTCTATTCTTACATAAAGGTTTTTGGTGCTGTTGAAGTGTTTAAACATTTCACGCAAGGCAGGAGGAAGAGAAGAGGAAGAAAATATTAAAGTTACACTGCCCGTATCGCCAATTAAATGCTTTGTGCATTCTCGTACTTTTTGGATATATGGAGGTTAAAAATTATGCATAAAGGATTTTTCATTTCGAAAGCAGTAGATGAAGCCTGTATCTTATTCAAGGGCAGAGGCCCTTTTCACATCATTTTCTAATCGTGGGAAAATAGCAGGTGAACATGAATATTTTCAAGGGAAATTGATCCCTCTCGTAAATATTGCCTTTGCGGCAAGCAATTTCGAGGTGAGATTCCTATTCCCTCTATTGATGGTGTCTAGCTTTTATTATTATTTTGGTTTCTGCATTGCGATGCAGTCATCGCTCACCCCTGGTCATTCCTCATCCTAATCGTAAGGCGAATACGAAAAGCAAACCATATCGAAAATAGGACGGGCGATGGAAAGTACTGCATCTCGCCCATGCGGTGCTTTCTCAAGGCTTTTACGTCAGGTGGATCCACTGATGCATTCACCGGCCGATTCCTCGAGATCTGTAGCACTTGTTGATGCTAAATGAAGCAACATGTCATTGCACAAAGCCTTAATAGAAGGGTGAAACCCAAGCAGACTGGCAATCCCATCTAACTTGGCGCATTATATTAAGATGGGTGGCACCCAAAGTATGTTAATGCAGCAAAGTCCCTGGGACAGTCCACCTAGATGATTATCAAAAATTGTCGGTGAGAAAAAAAATTCAAATATCGTCCTCATCGATTTCGTCAGAAGGACTTAGGATAACAGCGTTTCAATGTGTCTGAAGATCTCACTCTGGGACAATGCAACTGAATTTTAGCTGAAAGTCTAGAAATGGGTTGGGATTCACAGAGGCTTGTTTTCTCACCTCCCTGAACCCTCTCATGCTTGCATATTAAAATAAATTATGCAATTTTTGGGCTATAAGTATAAATACAGCCAACTCTAGATATGCCACCCTTGCTTATCGCCAACCCTTTCCTCATGACAAATCATCCCCAAAAGCTTAGCAGAGGCTCACCCTTTTGTAGCGCCTCTCTCGCTAGCCACCACCTACCAACACCATTTGTACAAACATGCTTTTTCCTACATTAATCCTGGATTTTGCATCGAGTAACATATGTGCTGCAGCCCTTATCCAGTACTAAACACAGTTAAATATATGTTACCACTATGAAAGGTGACTCAGCCATGGAATGGATAAGGCATGGGACAAGTGTGGAGTATTGGAGGGGTCCAAGGATGGCAATATAAATATCAATCTATTTAGTCAACTTGTCCTTTGGACTTTCTGGTATCATAACTACCAGCATACTGTGGTTCATTCCTTAACCCTTTGACGAGTATGCCTGTATATAAATGGGCTGACATCCTCCTGCCCTCCATGTATTCACTATGGGTGATCTTGGCGTTACAAAAAACCCACTCCTCAAGGGGTTAAAGACGAAAATCGGCGGTGACCAACAATGGCATTATATCAAGGGTTGACTGAATATAATTTGCTGTTCTAGTGGCATTCTTCAGTTCATGTTACTCTCATAATCCAATTATACACCAAATGGCTTGCATAGCAGAATCCAAAAAGTAATTTTTGTTTGCTAATTCAGGTCCCAGGAGAAAGGTGGCTTGGTGGTCCTGTAGGTGTGCACACATTTTGAATATGTCTTAATTCAGCCTTGCTTCCCATCCAGCACTGAAAAAATAAACCCTCCATGGAAATAGATTAGTGTATATTATTATTATTCCTGAAAGCAATAAAAATAATTTACTTCATCAATTTCAAAAGATGTCACCCACAGAAGCCATGGGGAAAAAAAAAGAGCCCTATAATCAAGAGACACTAGACATCAAAAAGCATCTTTGAGTTCGACTTCTACGAGACGTCGGTATTCATCAAAGCCGCCTTCCAGGCTCCATACCTTCCCTCCGCTGCAAACCCAGAGTTCCTTGCAGATCATTCTAATAAGACGTTCATCGTGTGACACCAAGATCACTCCACCCTGTGAGAGAAACATTCCCATCCTGAATCAGTCAAAATGGTTTTAATCTACAAATTTCCTTCATCAATTTTTAAGATCAAACTTTCTTTACAGTTTCCGATTTAGTAGTTTTCCAATTAGTAAAAATGAAATCTCAAATTTTTTTTGTTTGCTTACAGTCAAGCTGTCTTCTCCTCTTTCATAGAAGAGATAAGTGCTTCAGGAAAGTCAATGGTTAAAATCTAAATAATGGTAGCATGAAACATGAGATGGAAAAAAATACATCAAATCAATCCCTCATACACTCTCATACCATACCAAGCACTTCAGCACAAGGGATTTGGCCAAAAATTATTTTAAGGAGTGTGTCTACAATGAAATAGAGACTCACACAAAAGGCATTGAGAGCATTGCCAAGAGCCTCAATAGTCTCAATGTCCAGGTGGTTGGTGGGTTCATCAAGGATGAGGAAATTGGGTCGGGCCATAGAGAGGAGGGAGAAGGCAAGGCGAGACTTCTGGCCTCCAGAGAGGCTGCTCACTTGCTGCAGTGCCATGTCCCCTGTCACTCCAAAGCGACCCAGCTGCCTTCTATATTCCTCTACTGGAAGCCCTGCATAGGAGCAAATTCAAGGTGCTTGAGTGGAATCATACTTCTGCCACTTCAAATGTTATAGGTCATTCAATCAGCTATGAAATGGATGTCTTCACCATGCTCAATAACAAATTCTCAATGCATGGACTCCATAAATATCTGCTGTTCACTTGGAAGATTTGAATGGTGTCAGCTAGTAAAAAAAAAAATTCAAACTCAAAATAGAGGATAAATGGTAATACCAGAACTCCAAATACAAACTTCAGAGAACTCTACAATCCCTTTTCTCAGCTCAGTGGATACCATCTGCAAACATCAATATGTGAAGCACACCCAATTTATATTTCCACTAGCACAAAACTGGAATAGTGGACTATCCCATGACCTTGGAACTGTTTGGCAGATGCTGATAGACCATGGGAAGCACTTGAGAGGAGCTATACTTCTGCTGTATTTGTAAGAAGCACCAAACACTGAAGAATTCCCATTTATCATTATAGGAATATAATCATAGTTCCTGTATTCATAAAGGACAACTAAGAGGAAAAGACTAACACATCCAAGTTTTGTACATCAGAATCAAACTTTCTGGTGATCAGATCACCAGAAGTGAGCTGACACAATGATTCTGATGGATGCATTTTGATGCATAATGATTCTAGTGAAATAAAGGAAATCAATACATTGTTTAATGTGAAGGAGTGTGTTCTTCATAAAAAATAACTTTTCATGTAAATACCTCATACTTATATTTATGATTTTCTTCCCTCTGAGTGGTAGTAAATCTCCTTATGAAGCAAGATGATACATTTTGATTATGCATTTCCTCATACACCTGTATATCACAGAATACTTTTTTCTAATTTTTTCCAGGGTTACCATTAAGATTTATACCATAGATTATGACTGTCCTAGTCCTAGTTTGATCAATCTGAGAATGAAAGACAGATTCATTCTGAAGGCACCTTGAAATCGGGATTGAATGAGTTGAAGTGGGGAGAAGCTGAGGTCCAGCTGGTCCACATGATGCTGGGTGAAGTAGCCAAATCGCAGATTGCGGTGAGCATTGCGCACTCCGCCTGTTGGGCTCAAGTCCCCAAGGATGAGCCTCAAGAGAGTTGTCTTCCCAGCCCCATTTTCTCCTACCTCTCTCACAGAAAGTACAAAAAGAAGCTCAATCAAAGGGATCAGACATCTATGGCATTGAAAGGTTTGCATTGATACTTCATCTGGGCCCAGTTTTTTATGGCTTGAGAGGAATTGAATGGCTAGACAAATAGAAAGGGCATCAAAACTTGACTTTCAAAGGTTGGAAACATCTCGAAACATATTAACCTAAAAGAACTGTTCCAGATGAAATTTCAAAACAGCTTTTAATTCGGATAAATAAAAATGTAAGAGACGCACTATGCAGATGCGGGACTCCATGGTGGCACCCAAATTGACATTGGCAAATACACTTTTGCCAGGCATGTAAGCAAAGGAAACTTCATCCAACTGGAGGATTGGAGGTGACAATGCCTCACATTCAGGGAATTGCAGTGTAACCTCTGCCTCCTTTTCCACTGGCTTCACCTCTGGCCTACATATTCAGGGCAAAAATATTACTACAGCAAAACATGGCTTCACTTAATAAATTAGTTTAGCCTTTTCATACTAGAATGTTAGAATATAATAGCTTTCATAAAATATTTGTCATGTGGAGCCTTCGGAACCACATGCACAATATGCCTTGGACTGATAAGGAGGACAACAATTTTTCCCCCTCAGATTTTCTACTTAGCAGTCCTAGCATACTTTTTTTTTATTCTCAGTTTCTCTTCAAGAAAGTTGAGTGACTACTGGAATTTGAACAAAGCTTCATGTTACAGTGTCTTCTACATTTTGAGAAGCGACAATGCAATATTGATAAGGCCTTGATAAGACTCTGGGGGGGGGGGCTCATTAGAAAAGGTAATATGTGAGCAAGAGAACAATAAGAATTTAGGCTTCATGGCAGGTCTGGTGTGCATAATTGGGCAAAAGAGCTTAGGGCATGCATTGAAGAGATCTAATATTTGCTGAAGGTAGCAACTATTCAAGTATTCCTGTTGGGTGGGGGGAGGGGGGGGGGAAGAATGAGAACTCAGAGAATAAAGCTACCCAAGCATTTTGATCCTGCAAGAAGTAGATGCTGAAGAAGAAACTCACAGTTTCTCAAGCATCTTGATCTTGCTTTGCACAAGGGAGGCTCTCTTGGCATTGTAGCGGAAACGGTCAATGAATTCCTGGACATGGGCTCGCAGTTGCTGTTGTGCTTCATATTCCCTCTGTTGGTTCTTGAGCTTCTCTATCTTTGCACGCATGAATGACTCGTAGTTCCCCCTTTTATGTAAGAACAATGAATTCCAAATCATGACCATATGCTTTTGATGTTCAAATCCAAGGTTAGAAGTTCTAAGGGGTCCAAGGTCAAGCCAGTCTGTCTCATCCACCTGCTTGGAAAGGTATCAACCATAGCCAATATAACTTGTCCCCTGGGCTGAAAATTATGATCATTAGGATCATCACTTATCGCTTCTGTCGTTCCTTGCAAATTGGGGTTTTCTCCACAGCTACATCAAGGAAATTTAGTGCCTTTTCCATTTCACATAGCAAAAACATTCCTTTTCAAAGGTTTAAAGTAAACTATTTTGCACATTAAAAGAGGGATTCTCTTCAGGGGATAAGCTGGAGAAATAAAATATTGCACCTTGAGAGCATGGGTTGGGTGGGAAATGCATAAGTCCAGTTTAGAAGATTGGAAAGAATGTAAATTTCCATAATTATCATTTTCATAATAGACCCTTCCAATAAAAGGGAGAGGAAAGTGAATTTTGGATTCTATAGCAATGTAAAGTGAAGAAAAAGTAAAAGGATGATAGGAGGTTTCCAATGATATGGAAAGAAATAGCAATGAACAAGAAAAAGAAAATGAGAAGAACTTTTGGAGGACATGTAGTACTTTCTTTTTTGGAATGGGGTATTAACATCATGTATTTAAGAAATGCTTTGTTCAGATTGAGCATGGATATAATTACATTTATATGCTGCAACACACAAAAATCTCTCTCTCTGGACTGTTACATACCTGTATGCATCAAGTCGTTGAGAATGTAGGTGGAGGATGTCAGTAGGGACAAAGTCGAGGAAATTTCGATCATGGGAGACAACAAGTAAAGTTGTAGACCAATTGGCCAAGTAGTTCTCGAGCCAGATGATGGCCTTCATATCCAACATGTTAGTTGGCTCATCCAAAAGGAGCAAGTCTGGCCTGGAAAATATAAAAATCTGGCTTCAAGCACCAACACAACCTTACTTTCATGACTGTCATTCATTTCTCAAACTTTCACCAAATCGGACAGTGTAAAAGTTAATCAAAATCATAAAAGGGCCTGTCCATTTCTGTAAAAGACAATAGTAACTGGGGAATTTAAAAATGTTTTCTTGCCATGTGCAAAAAGGGATCCGATAGAGCTAGTAAAAATAAACCCATTTAGAAGAAATCACCTTTGCAACTTCCTGTACACTGGAAAAACTATCAACTTTGAAGTCAAAGCAATGTTTAAATGAACAGTAGTTATACTATTTTTCTATTCTATGGCTATCAACCAAATCCACCCAAGTAATACCCATGTGGATGTCAACTGCTTTTTCCTTGAAATCTAAATGGTACCCATTCTACACATTTCTTACATTATTTCTCTCAGTTGATTTGATTGGGACCCACACAGAACAACTGAATGCTCAGAAATGTGATTTAAAAAAAAAATTAAGAACTTCTCAAGGCCCATCAGATGAGCATACATGATGAATTTTCTTGAGACTTAAGGTGCAGGGACTGAGGAAATTGAGGTCCAGTGATTCAGGGGCATGACAGATGGAAGCTCAGGCTTCACCTTCCATTCTGCTGCTATTTGGTCATTATTGAACTAGATATATTTTTTTCTGCAATATGAGAGGAATGTTCAGATGCACAATCTACTTGACTATGTATCCTACCTGTCATCTTCCTCCCCCTTATTTAATGGGACAACTTAGTCGTTGCACAAAAAACTTTCAGACATATTCATGTAAATTGCTGTCTGACTGGATCACCCTGGAAAAAGAAGCTTTCTGTTGGATCACATGAAATAGGCCTATATTTTTTTATAGTTTCAGAACTAAATTCAGTCTGATCTAGAAATTATCAGAAGGATATAATAATTTCTCTTGGACAAAAATCAACTTGACCCAATTAATATTCAGAGAAAACTGCTAATGGTAACTGCTCTTCTTTACCAGTTTTTACTTTACATACCATGAAATTTTATTACACACTTTCCTATATGTATGTGGAAGATTTCTAACCTTGTCTTCATGAAGGATAGTTCAGATACTAGAGAGACTGAAAAGTAATACATGGGGCTTTACCCATTGAACAGTTCAGCATCAATGAAGAGAAAGAACATTTCAACCATGGCATTACATATTTTTGATGGAAATATTTTATGCTCATAGATTATTCATGATCATGAGTCATAGGAAGGGACCTTGCAAAGATCAGAAATAAATGGTTGAAGAATGAAAGGAGTCATACTTGGAGAAAAGAGCCCTGGCAAGAGCAAGCCTCATCCTCCAGCCACCAGAAAATTCCTTGGTCTTCTGTTTCTGCATCGTGGATGTGAAGCCAAGGCCATGCAGAATGCAACTTGCCTTTGCTGGTGCCTTGTCTGCCTCTATATGCTCTAGTCGTGAGTAGATCTCTGTCAACTCGTTGCTCAATTCACTCTCACTGAAATCCAATAACAGACATTTTCAAAGGCCCCAAATTCACAGCTGGATCATCATCTCACACTATTAGTCATATATTCCAAGGTAATTCAGATGTATCAGGAGCATCTTTATCCAGACTTATAGAAAATAAGTATTTTATTCAACCTGCTTGGCTCTACAGAGAATCAAGAAATATCCAACAATATCAACATGAAAATTTTAAAAGATCTGTTAATTCTTTATATTGCAGCTTCAAAATAATTGAAATTCATGCTAACATTTGTGATTTAGAAATAATTGAAAGCTTGTATGTCAATATTTTCAGTTGCTAGAGTTCAAGGCAGCAAAGGAATAAGACAAATGGTCAAACTGGAGTGGTTTTTTTTCATTGGGTCACCCTATAGGTTGACAATGATAATAGAAGACAGGCTGGAAGCAAGGGCTAGGAGCTTCATGAGAAATAGGTCATGGAAAGGAAGTGTGAGAGGGGCATGAGTGCAAACATATAAACTCCATTTAAATCACTGAGACTGACCCGGCATTGATGAGAGCCTGGATTTGGGCCTCTCTGGCAAGGAGCTCAGCTCGCTCAGTATCACACTGAAGAACACTTTCCAGGGCAATGGTTTCATCTCCTTCCACCTCTTGTTCCACATGAAGCACACTGATATGTGACGGGATCTTCAGCTGCCCACTTCCAGGACAAATAACCAATATCACCTTTTGTACAAGAATGTTCAGTTGCAGGTGACAGTTCAGCAAGACTTTTTTTATTGTATCAAATGATCTAGTATGAATTTTAGAGTGGCAAAAAATAAAGGTCCATGCAATTGTTATGGATATACTGCATGTGACTGCAATACTGGTGGCTGCTCAAGAATAATTTAGGCATGAAGAGAAATCCCCTTTTAAACATTTATTAAGGAGAAAGTAAAGGTGTGAGGGTTTCATCATCACACATTCCTCTGGTTATTGATTGCATGCTGTTTTCAAAAGAAAGTTTCCACCTTCAAATTTGACTTGTCTGTCACTCACAAAGATTCACATCACAAGGGCTGGAAAGGATTGGAGACTTAGACTAACCTGGAAATCATTTTCAAGAGGGTTGATTTACCAAGACCATTACGTCCTATGAAGCCATAGCGCCGTCCAAACACCAGTGACAGTGATGCTCCAGCCATCAGGACTCTGTGGGGAATCAAGCCAAATCAATATAAAACTTCACCACTAACATCAGAGCCCAGCAGGTGAATTTAATTTTCAGGATATGTTTTCTAAATGAATAGTGATCTTAATCCTTCCTGGCAACATAAAAAGGGACAAAGAAAATATCTCTACATCTGGAATCTATAGAGTATCTGAAAGTTTCAGTATCAGAATTTGAGTAGTTCTAAAAGGATGATGGAAGCTGTTCTCACTTGTCACCATAAGCAATGTCAAAGCCCTCAATACGGATGTCCTTGGAGTTGAAGTTTCCTCGCTGCTCCATTCGAGTATCCTTCTTGGAGAGCACTTGGGATGCTGAGGCAGAGGAATCCCCTCCCCCAATTACACTTGATGTCCCACTCCCATTCTGACTCCCTATTATCTCTCCAGTGCGTTTCCCTTGCTTCTGTTGCAATTTTGCTTCTGCTTTTGCCAACTTGGCTTGGTCCACTTTCTGCAAAAAGATTTGATGTCATACTCTCACTAAAGGACAAGTGCACTTAAAACAGTTAGTAGAGTGAGGAGAACCAGATGGCCAAGCCATACTAGCCTACACTTTTTATGCCTTAAGAATATCACTTCAGAAAATTGCAATATTCCATGGAACTGACAATCTTGGCAGGATTTTAGAGCACAATACTTCAGACAATTTATGAGAAACTAAAAATGTATGTGTACTAGTGAGGACCCTACCAGAAAGGTAAAAATAACTTCTCAGTCGAGTCTGGATTGACCAAATAGGCACAATGTATCCATAAGACATTTTTGATATATTAAGAGTGATTCTCAAATATGTGAGACATTTTGTCATTCATTTGAGGTTTGGGAAAGAAATCCAAATTTAGTCTTATTGATCATCATTGGCAGAAAAACTATGACTAAATACAAAACACTATGATAATATGTCATTTAGGGCAAAATACATACATAAGTTTGCATACTTCCTGATGTTGCACTTAAGATTTCAATGACATATTTTTTAAATTAAACATTCCTTAATTACATGATAAGCATGTTTAGTTACACATTCCCTTCATCAGTATCATACTATAAGGCCTTAAAATATTTGTGAGGATAATTTGAACAGGGAGCTTTGACTAGCCAACTTTGTTTGGGGGTTTAGAACCAGAGAGAAGCAACTCTCATATTCTCATTCATGGCCTACAAACTCCAAAACAATGTATCACTCCACATTTACCCCTTTCATGTCCAAATTGGGAAATTTTTTAAATTTTTTTAAACTTAATTTCATTTCAAATAATCTTTTAAATCAGTCATTAAAGCAGTCATACAATAACAGTTCATATTTGAGAATGAAATTCTAGAGATTGGTAATTCTAAATGGAACCTTTGGCTCTGAAAGGTCAATAAAAATGCAAAGTAATGTTCAAATATCCCTAGAATGAGAATAAGTTGATTGCTCCAAATTCCTAAGTACCCCTTCAAATACCAAATTCCAAATCCCCCAATTATCCAACTTTCTCATTGGATAATGTACTTCACATTTAGAGTGCACAATGGAATTAGGATATATTTGACTTCAATCACAGTCATACAATCCCTTCTACAGGAGAAACTTGACAATTGCAACAGGAAAGCATAAATGCCTCTGTTCAGCTGGAATTGATCTAATATTGGCATATGTGAATGAGAAAGGATTCTCAAGTAACACACCAGAGTGTCTTCCCTCTTCATGAGCCATATACTCTCTACACGCCCCATATTGTCATCCATGGAAGCAGCCATGGAACCCATGTGGACAGGGGCATCCAGCCTTTTCTTCAATCCATCCCCATCCATAGTTGACTCTGTGCCTCCCTTAAGGGCACTATACAATCTCTCACACAACTCCCTGGAAGTCAGTGACATGATAACACAGCATAATGAATGCACTCCAACAGGGTCTCAATATGGTTTCATGAAAATAGCAACATTAAATAATATACTTACAACCTCTTGCACATAAACTGAGATGTAACAAATATAAAAACCTCACTATGATGCCTGAAGAGATATCATCATACCTGATGTCATATGATTCTTCACAATCAAAACAGAATCTAGACTAACCATATCAATCGTTCCTATTTTTAATTAAATGCAAGCAAAAATCAACACAAATTTCTCCATGATATAGAAGGCCTATGGCGAATATGCACTACTTATGTTTACATGCTATAAAATTTGCAGTTACATGGCAAAACTTTCATAAACTGCAACCAGACAAGTACATTTTTCTGGAAAAAACTTGTCTTAATACCCAACACTTAAAAGCATTGAATTCTTTTTATTTGAAAAATTACTGGAAACTACAAAAAGATTAGAAAAAGAAAAGCATGTTAGCATTTTATTCCATGTGAAAAAATTATTCTTGGAGGCAGGGTGGTATGAGAATGAGAATTTCCAAAATATACACTATTTCTTTTTAAGAGGAACTCTTCAGTAGATCTACTAATAGATTTATGATTTTCCATGAAATTTAAAATGCCCCTCACATCTTGTTGAGTTATTTTTTATCAAGGAAACAAAATACCACAAAAAAAGTTAAATAGAAGAAATGTACATAAAAATGAAAACATGGTGGAAATAGGTTTATTTTTTAAAGAATTTTTTGAATAGGATGAGTAATAAAAAACAATTTCCCCAAGTTTAGTATAAAAAAATATTGTCTCAGATCAGCATATCCCTTATGTGTCAATGCAAAAAGACAATTCCTACCTCATTAACCTTCATCGTACTGAGTTTTTAAATTCTTCGGTCCCCTCACAGCCAGAAATTAATTCTGCCCCTTCAAACCCTAAGGGTATGACAATTATATCATTTGTTTGGGTTAGAAGCATACCCAAGGACCAGAAGAGCTTATTGATATGACATATCTAACATTCATCCAATGGAAATTACTGGAATGGAAGCATCAGATATATCTGACATTCATACAATAAAGGTTAAAAGTCAGATAGATGAAACTGGAAAGAAGATTAGTACCAACAGAGTTTAGCTTGCATTAAAATTGAAGCTGTTTTCAGTTTTAACCAATAATCAATCTCTAAACTCACATGATTTGTAATTCATCCACTTCTTGGCCATGGACCCCATGAAGAACTCCACCGACTGCCTCATATACATCATGTGATGACAGGAAATCATCTCCTTCATTCAGAACACCTGTATGCAAAGTAATAAAAAAAATATAATGGCAGCTGCAAGGAAAAAGGAAACTATGTGGTCAGAGTCTGTGAAACCAGGGAGTAACCATGGGCCTTCAAACACACAGGGGTCATATAAGGAGCTAAGTCTTTGAAGAAACTATTTAACCCTTTCATGCATGGTGTCCACTGCAGTGGATGGCAACATTTTTGCCAATGACGATTGCTTTTCAGCCATGGCACATATACCTCGAAACTGTTGGTGCATGCTGTCAACTCAAGGGCACATAATCTATTCAGTGTTGCTTTCTAGTGGTAGAACCATTGGACTACAAAGGCAGAGTATCTTCTTCAATGTTAACACTAAAAAGCATATTTTTGTTTTGCTTTAAAAATCCATCCACAAAAGGGTTAATGATGGCATTCTCCTTGAGTTTTAACTTACGCTCCTAAAGCTCATGTTGTGATGCTTTGAGCTCTTAGCCCTTTCTGCAATGCTGCAACCAATGGTGAACCCAGTTTGACAAAGGAGTGGAAAGAGTTAAAGCTCAAAACATTGTTTGTTAGAACCCATTTCCAATTTTATAAAGTTGACACCATGTGAATTTGCCTGAAATGTGTTTGTTATAATGTTACTGCAGTTTCGAGTCTATGAAATCATTAAGAAAGATGTGACCAGATTCTATGGCTACAGAGCTCCCACTGGAGGAGGGTATGACACAGAAGCCAATGATGAAACCACTCAGCACTTGCTTCTAGCATTGTGGGAATCCAGGCTGATCCAAGTTTTGAACCCAGCCTCAAACACCAGGCCAGTAGCTGCTTTCAAATAAAAGTGCCATTAAGTTCCTATGTTGTCTTATACCACAGACTTGAGCTGTTTGCCTCCACTTTTCCTCACTGAAGGGTGAACATAGACAATCTTGAAACAAAATATTAGGCTTCATCAGATGTTACTGTGAATGCATATTTCTATTTTCCAACTCAACACATATAGTTCCTAGTTCAAGCCTACAGACAAAAGGGGGGGAATTCAAATTGACACTGAGGTAGACTCTGGCCAAATATCTTCCTATTCTTGAAGGCATTAAGTCTTTGCAACAACAATGAGAAGTTCTTCATTTAGGGAAACTCACTTTCAACATAGTTGCGGATTTCATGGTCCACATCAAGTCCATCTAGAACATCTTGGACAACAGTCTTCACTCTGGCATTTGCCATTTCTCATTTAAGCAACTACTTTGAACCTGTAGGAGCAAACATCAGAGCAGTCAATGAGTTTATACTGCTACAGCTAAGCAATGCTACAGATGACATATAGTAATATAATCACATCTATTACCTCCTGATGCTAGGAATACTCCTAACTTTGCATATTCAAAGGCCTATCACAGGCCCATGCCTCAAGTACTTCAATTTACTAAGTACAAAGCCCACTGACAATCAAATCGTCTCACATCCTAGTGATTGTGGTCTAGTCACTCTTAAAGGCAAATTTATACTGGAGCATAACTTGAGTCATCATTGTGGGCCTACAATGGTTTTGATATTGTAAATCCCTAATTTCACGTGATACAAGAACTATAAGCCGAAATTGAAAGAGCAAAAGCCCTCCAGAAGTTGTGGGTGCTTCCTTTAGGATATGCTGGCCTTATTGTTAGTTCTTCCACTCCTCCTAAGGATTTTTGACCATCCCAATAGCATTTTCTGAGCGATTTCTGTAGTAATTAACTACAAATTGCACAATAAATTGAATAACTGATTATAAAGACAGGATGAAAGTGGCGAACGACCTCTCTCTTGCCTCGGGGCTAAGGGCGATGGCATACGGCTAACTCTGCCACATGGTACACGTTACTCATGTATGACGCCATTTATGAACCACGGTTGCTCGAATGGCCATCTACATTTTACTGCGTGAAATCGGGAGCGGTGGAGCACTTCGTTCATATAGTAATCTTTTGCTCTAGGGAGAACTTCTTGATAGGCTCTATACATTACAGGCGTCTTTTTCTATAAGGGAAAAAAAGGTAACTGAGAAATTCAGAATTTGAAGAATCCAAGTATTTGAGCATCCCGATCAGTAGTGTGAATGTCGCCGTCATCGAACGAAAGAGGTCTTCTGTTCCAGTCCAAGAGCGCTCAATTTGCTACGCTGGAAATGGAGCGGATCACTGAACTCTGGATCTCTCGGTTGCTCGAAACCTGAATCAGTAAACATTAGATAAAAGGCGAAGATCCAACATTGAAAGAGGTAAGCCCTAAGTTTAATGGCTAATTAAAACGTAAACTAATGAAAATTAATTTTTTTTTTACTTATAAATAAGTAGATTTTCAAGTACAGCTCCGTCCATCCAAAACCTTTTCCCTTTCTTGTAGGACTATGTAGCAGGAAGTCATTGTAAGAAATAAGTCTGACTGAGTCCTATCCTGCAAAAAGGCTTAGGATAGGAAGTCGTTTTTGAACGGAACTGTCCATCGGTCGGTAAAAGTATCTGGGGGATTGCATCCTCGAGTGATATAAGAAGGTCTTAGAGATGCATGAGAAAATGTCAAGTGCCAAAAAGAAAATACATGTTGGATTAAAATGCCAAGAGGAGAGCTCTCTTTACTCTTGAATTCGAGATGCTTTTTCAAAGAACGAGAATCCTGAGAGGAATGACTTCGATAAACGTCCTCGTTCCCCCATTCACCACAGATCTACGGAGACTAGACCAGATGCGTTGAACGGCACGTGAATGTGTGTGAAGGGGTGTGAAGTGCAATTCACGCTAGAACGACTTGGTAACATGACCTAGTATAGGAAGTAGTTGACTTCAGCTCTGCCTGGATAGGTTGCACGCTTGCGGAGGTAGCAGTCTCATCTAGGATTTCACCGTTAGCGATTGACGTACCTAACGTACATGACAATAATTAAGTTCGCACGGGTCCATATTCAGGGCCTTGCTTTCCCTTCCTTTCTCACAACGCATTACAGAAGAACCCACGCATCGTTTGATGTAAAGACTGTATTGAGTCGTCCTCGAACGCATATGAACGCTTTGGGGGAGAGAGCCCGAAGCACAAAGCCTTCACCTATTTGCGATGATGCCATCGCTTCGATCTCTTTCTTCCCATGAGTTCATGCAATTGAACATCTGGGACATGTTCTTCAATCGATCGTGCCTGCATTATGCATGCAGTATCTCTTTTACCGGTGACTTGGACAATTCAGCAAGTTTTCTCAGCAAGGAATTTCAGATTATCTTACCTGAAACGTGTTTTATTTTTATATTTTTATATTTATTTTTTTTTTTTACTCCAGTCTTGGGAGTCAAGCTTTTCTCTCTGGTTTCTGGGCCGCCTCGCTCCCTGAGAACCTAAGGTAATCCCCACTCTGCTCGTCGAGTTCTGCACAGTGGCGGTACGAAGGGGGGTGACCCCCCAATGACCAGGTTTGCATTCTAGTTTTCTTGAACGACGAAAGATCCAACGAGGGGCATCCGTCGTCTACGGTGACGTTGAGTCACTGCCTGGATCTTCATAGTTGACGTGTCATGAGCAATTGCTAATATGTTTTTTGCCCATCGGAATTCCTTCCGACGGCATAGCCGAAACTGCGCCGTGTGAATGACTCCACAGCGAAATTGCATCATAACACGGTTGCCATAGTCCCGAACGATTTCTTAGAGCCTGGAGCCTCAATTTGCCTTCGGAGCCTCTTAATGCGTACATTATCAGCTTATCGACCGAGTTTCCTTCCATATTTGCTATCTCTTTTTTTATTATTTACAAATCCTTGTTTACAAATAAGTATGTCGGGATGCGGTTCTCTGGCGTTGTGATACGTTGTATCCTCAGTCGCATCAGGTGCATGCCTTATATGAATCATAGGTAATCCCTTCTTAATTCGGCCGTATCGATAATTAATTCCATGATAATAATCCGAAGTCACTGCACGGGCAAGACATCAGTCATCGAACCTCCGATAGGACATGCTTTCCTTCTCTCATGGTGCTGGGTGTTCACATCCGAGAGGCAGAGAAGTAGGGCTCCTTTATCTAGGAAAAGGTGAGGATTTTCACGGTGAGGACCGAATCGGACAGTACGGGAACTCATGTTTGTCTAATAAAATATTTAGCGCGAGTTCGTGTCCTTTCCCCTGCGATGCTGCAGGCAAGCCTATTCACTTTAATCTACTGCGCCTGTTTTCTCAATGACCATGAGAGGTTGTTCTATTCCTTTGCCCCCCCCCCCCCCCCCTCCCCCTCTTTGGTCCTGTCAGACGATTACTCTCGTGATGAAATGACGATGAAATGGCGGGGGGAAATGTCCAACGCAATTCAACCATTCGCAGACCGATATTCGATCAGTACTGGCGAGCAACCACCCTGAATACCGGTCCGATTTCACAGACCATCAGACGAGAAAACCATGACGGAAACGTCGTCTTTCCCGCCGATAACTCTCAAAGCAAAGCAATCGACAGGCAGGAGAACGCAGCATTAATACTAATTGCTGTGACGGGATCGATGCGAGAGTGAGTCCTCGTCAAAAGATAAACATAAAGGGACGGTGACAGGAAAGGAAGATAACAAGAAAGGTGTCCGAGAGAAACTCGGCATGACAATGAAGCAATCTTCCCTCTCGCCACCCGGGTCCCTCCCCCCTCTTCCCTCCCTTCACCGGGGTCCCTCCCCCCTCCTCCACCCTAAAAGGTGCCGAACCCAAAGCGGACGGCATGGACGCTTTCCCTTCCGTCCACGGCCGTTTGTGTTTCTCGTTGGGCCTTCCCGATTCTACTCGAGTATACCGGCAGTGCATCAGATTAGGAACTGGTTCGCCATCTGTCTTTAAATGCTCAAAAGAATGTTTTATTGCCTAAAAATAATATAAATTAATTCTGGTTGGTGATGGTGAAATCGATGTCCAGGTTTTACTACAGATAAAAAAAAAACGATAGAACGGTAGGAATTAAACGATAGGAGGGGGGAGGGGGAGGAACGCCCCCCCCATGAATAACTTCTGTATTTACTACTGCAGTGGTGCACAACCTTTTCCCCCTAGAGAGCCAAATTGAGATTTCGGCTCATGTTCGAACATGAGCCGAAATAGGCTGCATATAAATATGGATCATTAGAAAGCGGAGGCATCCAAGGGGCCGCAAAAAGGTCTCCGCGGGCTGCAGGCATAGGCGGCGATTCCTAGAGGCTCAGGGGGCTCGAGCCCCCCTAAAAATTTGGCAGAATACTAAGGAATACTTAAAGTACTGTCTCTGAGCCCCCCCAAATTTCTCAACAAATCGCCGCCTATGGCCGTAGGTTGTGTATCACTGCACTACTGGGTCATGATGGGTTATGTAAAATATATGTTGCACCATTACGAACTAATATGAGCCATGGAGAGGGTAGCAGGCAGGACGAACCGTCCGCCTTTCCATAAAATCTTTGCATGATTTTACTTTGCAACTTTACTTTTCCATGAACATGCAATGAACTTTCATGCAATGAGAAAAAGAATGAAACTACAGTTTTTCAACGACGTGAAAAACTGTAGTTTCACAGCTCGCAACACGCAATTCTCACCGATGAAATAGAAAAAGGCTATTCGAGTAGCTCAGGAGAGAGCCAGGCTCGTTCTTCTTGGAATGGAATATTCATAAGTGAGGAATTCCTTGTATTTGTTTACTTAGTGACAACTTCACAATGTCAACAGCATGTCCAGGCAGCTTATTTGAAAAAAAAAGTCCAGCATGATTCTAAGGGTCATTCCTGAGGTGTCTGGATTTCTGCAAATTTCATTTTGGATGAAACCGACATAGCATAAGTTGTGATATGACAATCCCTCAAATTCAACCTGAGGCATGTGAAATGTTCAGTTCTCTCAGCGAAATATACCTTGGAAAAGAAAAACCTGTTTTATTTTTAAACGAGGAAAAATCAATGCAACTTGCCAACGACTTGAGACTCGAAGAAAAGGGAAGATGTTGGAAACCAGCAATATTCAAGCAAGTTAGGTGGTCGCCGAAATGAAGGAAAACAGACATTTCACAGCATCAAAATGTCATGGGATTGACCTCGCCTTGAAACGACTCGTAAGTTCAAGGACAACCGTGCAATGTTGCTACATCGCGGCCACAATCCTACTTAACCGAAGACGATGTATTCTCGCAATTTGTGCATGTGGCTGATCGGAGTTCAGACGGATTAGAGCCTTGATGCTATGGGAAGAACTCCACATATGAAACCCGTAGCTGCTGTTCATCCTCTG